CGCCGTGGCCACGCCGGGGCCTGGTCCCGTCTCCTGAAGGCCGGGGAAGGACGAGGAAACCCACCTGCTGAAAGTCTGAATCCGCGACGACATCATTTCCAGCTGCGGGTCGTCTGAAAGAGAAATCATCTGGTCCGAATTTAACGATCTGGAAAATTTGGCTAAATCGAGAAGCCCGGGTGGCAAGTTGGGTGGGCCCTGGGCGGGGCCGAGCTGTCAGCTTGGCGGGGCGGAATGTCCCAACCTGCCGCCGCCGGTTTACAAGCTGCCCGGGGCTCAGAGGGGAGCTTGTCCCTAAACAGTTTCACGGCAACACGCTGAAACGCGATCCGCCGACATTTAGCTGTGGGAGCCAATTTGGGTTCAGCCGTTCTGTTTGACTGTTGTGATGTTTTAAGGTTAAACTTAATTCCTTGAGACATTGACATATTTGTTGTGCACTCTGGGTAATCAGAGATGGCGTGCCCTGTAATACTTCCCTGTCGGCTCCAATAGACGGATTTCAGCCTGACAGATGGAGACATTCACAGAAACACGCCTGTACGATTCCTGTACGATTCCTGTACGATCCTGTACACACATACTAATAACTAACAAATACACGATTATTGAAGAGGGTATTTGAGAGTTGAACGGATGGAAAAAGTAGCATCTGATTTGTGTTTCAGAAGTAAGAAATAGCCATCCGTTATTGAAAACTGTAAAAATGGAGCGGCCGAACTTTTCGCGATGATTTGTGATGATGATGAAGGATGCGGCGGAGGAACGGTTGACTGCCCCGGGAACGACGCCCGTCACCGTTCCCAGGGTTGTCAGTTTCCCTGGAGTGTGTCACACGCTTCCTCAGCTTTAATCTTGTTTCACAAACACATTTCAAACACTTTCTGAAACGTTATTTAGTGATGACTTATTTATCCGTCATTCTCAATGAAAATCTTAGACTTTACTGAGCAATGCGAGCTCTCCTGCCAAGTTGATATCGGATATTCTGTGAGAGCAACATTTATTCATTACGACATCACACTTTATCTAACATATGCTCAAAATATTGTTATAGGATAAGAGATAGCTCATATCACAAGAAAATGTTTTTCTTTTGTCTCCTCGTATAAAACGAAAGATTCATAGAAAGTGAACAGTAGCCTGAGTGTCAGCATTTTAGCTTCCGTCCGCTCCCCCACGATCCGCTACTGAGCTTCGGAAGTGGCTGGAAGGAGTAGAAATTTCCCAAATAGACATATAATGATTATAAAATGTACTTCTTAGCGGACCATACTCCCTGGCATATCATCTGTCTATCTGGCCGATTTTGTACTCCTTCCAGCCGCTTCCGAAGCCAGGTAGAGACTACTGTGCTGTGCCCATGATGCAGTCATTGAGTCAGGCTCATTGAGTCCCGTAGAAGCCGGAGGGTCTCTATTGTTACGTGTCGCTGGGGCGTGCTAAAATTCTTTGTGCGAAAAACAAACATATTCCCGCCGAACAGGTTTTATATAGACTCATCAGCAGTCAATTGACATGGCTAATCTGTGTGAAAACGATAAGTACTTTACACGGTAGGTGTCCAAACCGATAGGAAGATTGTTTTATAGACTGCGGTATAGACTGTATGTGACACATATCTCATTGTTGTCTTCACAGCTCTATAAATAGATATTGTGAGATCTTCATTTGTTAGTTCATTAATATTGAAGGCATTATTATGAAACGGGTTTTAATGATAAAAACATTGTTTAAAAATTATAAGAAAAAGTCTCTAAATCACAGGTAGGGCATCTCGAGTTGCAAAGAATCGGTACTAAATGTATATATGTGTTTGTTTGTTTGTTTGTTTGTTTAAGTATTTTTAATCAAGCAGACTCTTAGTTTTGGCTCGCTTTTGTTACTCTTTTTGGTGGTAAAGCCACCAATATGGAACGTAGAAACACGCATCTACTAGTACTTGACCTGTACCGATCTCTAGTAATACGTTTAAAGATGTTGCTAAAAATTAGAATTTCTTACCCCAAAATGTAACAAAGAAGAGTGTGTATTTCGCGTGACAATGCCAGCCCCTGTACCGTGTAACGTACGATATTCCACGCCTGCATTATTTCATTTTCGTGACGTTTACGTCAGTTATGAGGGCCGTTCCATCCTCTGTGATGTTTTTCCATATCTCTGTGTTTATTTTGACGACTTCCGCGCTGTTTGTTCAGACAAATGTGAACACGGATTAAGTTGTTTTTACGGATTAACTGTCATCTATCCACCCAGACTCAGGATTGAGCGATCCCACATCGACTAGCCGTAGTTATAGATTGTGGCAATGCCGCACTACGAGTTTGAACTCTTCTTGTCATTGGTAGTCAATTGTGTCTAATTTCG